GTGTGTGTGTGTGTGTGTGTGTGTGCTAGTCTCTGCACAAGTGAGCAAGAGAGATAGGGGAGAGAGTGATGCTTAATGAATCTTGTGCAGCTGAGCTGTAAAGGGAGGGAGGGATGGGGGCCGTAAACTATCCAACTATCCTATATTTAATTTCTCAGGATCTTCTTTACCTTTCGGCTGCTCCCTTTTCGGGGTCGCCACAACGGATCATCTGCCTCCATCTCACCCTATTCCCTGCCTCCTCTAATTTAATTTCTCAGGATAAACCTACTTAAAGGAAAGGATAAAAGTCTAAAACTGTGTCTGGTTATCCCGCCACCAGAACACAGTACATCATTATCAGTAACTCCCACAAGTAAAGAAACATAGATCAATGTAGACAGTCTGTGGTACTGTGAGCACTTTGCTCCTATATGTCAGGTTGGTTATGTTTAGCTCCAGCAACTGACAAAGTTTTTATAATTCCCTCTGATGAGAGTCTTTCATAAAGATAGTCATCAGAGTATGTCAATGTATTCAGTGGGTCTCTGAAGACCCTTGTCCTTTTCAGAGACCCTTTAACAATCCACACTAAGATCCACAGGATCCTTTTATTTCTTTTTTTTGCTCCATGGGATCCTCTAATCAATTCCTTTGAAACATGCCATCAACGATGATGTCACCTTTCAAAGAAATTGATTGGTCAGTGGGCGGAGATTATTTGCCAACGTGAATAACACTTTTATTATAGGCTATCTACTATTATCCTCAGCAATTTCAAATATGATTCTGTGTAATCTACTTTGGCCCCAGGAATACAGCCAGTGTCGTTAAAGTCCCAGTGTCAGTAAAATCACTTGAGTCACTGACATAATAAAATAATTAAGAGTTACAATGAACACCTTCTTATATACGAAGAGGTACCCTGTGCAAAATAGAACCATAACAGAACGTGTTATGAAGGGGCAGGGAGTCTGGGTTTTAAAGTATTTTAAAAAATTACATAAAAAAAAAACATAGGTGTTCAAATAAGTAGAAAATAAAAAAACATATCAATATTAGTAGATAGATGAAAAATTTCCCTTAAAATACGAAAGAGATCAAAGGTGAAGCAGTGAATTGGTGTGTCTGATAAAAGACTGTTCAGTTAGTTAATTCAGTACGAGTGTTAGTATTTCTCAGCTTTATCTGAGGTGGGTTCAGGTGTTCATGAGCTGCTGCATTGTGTTTCTCTTAACACCAGGTAGTTGCATCCTATTCAAGCAGCCAACCAGTCACCATCAGATCCGTGTTATCAGGGCTGGGCTGAGTGCAGCTGCTGAATGGAAAGTGGTAATAGGTGCAGCCTTTAACCCTACCCTTTTGTTTCAATATTGACCATGGTGCTGTGACAACAAAGTGTCAGAGAGAGGAGGTCATGAAGTGTGAGTCGTTACAGCAAGAGCGAGGGGTTAAGGACACCTCAGCTCTAAACTGTTTCCATATCCTGGTTACAAACCAGCAGGATGACAAACATAGCATCAGAAACAATTGTGACATTTGGCTTGTCAAACACGTTATCTGAACAATGTGATGATGATGACTGAAGATGTTACAGCCACAGTAAATGTGACTTTATTTCTTTGATTAAACCTACTGTTACCTTATTGTCCTCTGACAAGCCAGGCTGTAGGGTTCTGTCATTGAGGCAGTACTAAAAACATTTCTAATAATATTCATCACTATTCTTTTTGTCAACAAATTCCAAGGTCAGATTCAAAACAACACTGACTGTAGTCTAGTATTATTATGTTTATCAGAGCCTGACATATCTTATTCCTCTGTATCACAGGGATCTGTTGTTGTCCAAAAACTATTTTAAAGTTAAAAGTTGCACTGCATGATATGCTTTTGATAGAGCAGCTGTTTTGGAAAAGCAGGAAAAGCCCCTTATAGCTCAATTTAGTTACCTCTCATTGTATACTGCTTTAGTAAAAAATGATGTAGTACGTAACAGGGTTGTCCTCCTTTGTTAAGTTTTTGGCAGTGCCAAAGACATCTGTCACTTCAAACCTGAGGACTTTCACCCCATTGCACTTCCTCATCCACTTCCTCATGACATGCTGCTGTTCCTAGACCACTTTCTTCTTTGACTGACTTCCCCTTAGAGCTGGTTACCAAGCTTGAAGAATGTATCATCAGACCTTCCCTATGCAACTGGACTCTGGACCTCCAGATCAACATGTTAAGGAGCATACCACATGACCTCAATGCATGGTTACATTACACAAAGGGATCTGTGTTACATTCTATACCATTCTCTTCCTTCATTTGTTTCCTGTATGTGAAAATGCCAATTAAAAAAGCAAAACAAGTAACTACATATTATGCTTTGAACCACTACATGATGTATTATTTTGGATATTCTCTTGTATTATATATTTTGGTTGATGATTTTATTTCTTGCTTCTGATTATTTGTCATTTTGCAATTTCTTTTCTGGGTAAAGTGTAACTTCATTCAAAATGCAATTCATTGTTGAATGCAAAAACAAGAACAACACAAAAGGTTGTCTAGTGTCAGAGATCAAAATATATGTTGCACTTTTAATGCAGCAGTTCAAGGTTGAGTGTGTGTGGAGTAGAAGTTAAGGTGTGGATTGTTTAAAAAGTTGCTGTTTCAGGATGCAGGAAGCACTACAGTGAAAGGACTGATTCAGTAACAGAGAATCAGATAGATGGTCAGGAGGTGCAGACCAGACTCCCTGCTGCAGGACCAGGGAGACTGTTGAGATGCCTCAATAAATAACATGTAACCTTCCAATATAAATATGTTTATGTCTGTTCTCAATCTCTGGTTAACACATTTTTTTTTGTATCTCAAAGGCTGAAATAACTAAAATAATACAGGATATAAAACCTGGATTGCAAACATAATTCATTCTTCATCTTAATGACTGAATCAATATGTTGATCTTGTAGGAAAGGCCCATTCGCTCATCCACTTCTGTCTTGGGCCAATCACATAAAGACTAATCACCATTTAGCCACTGATAGTATTTCTCACTCTTGCTGACTGTCCTTGAAGCCAAACATATCTCACCAATCAACACAAAATATGAATAAAATAATTAATTCTTATTTATCACTTTGTCCACACTGCACACATTTATATCAATTATGATATGGGGTAGAATTTAAATCCATTCACGGAAATGCAAAGTTATGAATTTGAGAAAACGTTGCCATTCTTTTAACTGTGAAGAGAACTGAATGCAAAAGACACTTCAAAAATTCAAATGCTAACCTAAAATAAGCATTTTCCTTGAGGAACTTTGCAAACATAAACCTTAAAAAAGAGGTTTGTTACAAACATTCCGGTACAGAAAATGTGCGTGGGAGGGCGGAAAGAGGGCGTACTGCAGAGGAGCAAACACTTAAATACAGGATAGGTGAGAGTGGAGTTACAGGTGTTGTTGGAACTGCGGCACATCTACATTCTCACCTGACCAGTCCGGAACAGGTAAGATACGGAGCCTACCCTCGCAGGCATACTCATTTTATGACACATCTTTACCACAGGAAAATTAAACATGGCTCTACACAGTGAAGCAATTCAGTATGAAGACTAAAAAGGCGAGTCATTTGAAGTTCAGCTTGTTAGAGGAAAATCTGATAGATTAAACTAGATCAGAAAATAAAATACATTTAGTGGGGTTGCCATACAAAGTTTAATTACAGTCAAACTGTTTTGCAGATGATCACTGTCCCATTATAAAGACTTTGTGGAGTTTTTTAATTCATTTTTACGAAATTTTTGTTTAAAGAAGAGATTTTGGGGTTCATAATTTTAATATAGGGCTCTACTTAATTAAGTTTAAGGTCTCCAATGTTCAGAAAACGCTTTAGTTTCTTTATTCTATTCGTTGCTGCAGCAGCAGGATACTCAGCCGGATTCAGCTCCAGTGCCCCCTCTCTACAAACCCCAGTCTGTTGTGATTGGCCGGCTGATGATGAGTTCATGTACGTCAGAACGAAAAGTAGCTGAGAACAGACCTCGCTGCAATTAAACACAACAATAAGTTTTCTTTTTAATTATACAGGTGTAATTAATTTAAAATATGTCAATGAAAAACAGATCCACAGCCCACTGTGCTTTAGTAAATAGGCGAATGTGTATACCGTGCAGTTTGATTTTCCGACAGCAACTGAAGGCAGCACCAAAAAACGTAATATAACTCTTTCAAGTTTAGAGGGTTAGATTAAGTTTTTTGAGTCTAGTTTAGAGTCTAAACTCTCTAAAAGCTAATCTGTGTATCATTCGTTCTTTTCATATTCAATTAGAAAACTAAAATCGGAAAATGAAAAAACAAGTCA